CAGACGTAGGGGGCTGTGCACGTGTGATACAACTTAGGTTCCACGGAAAAATAAAATCGTTCGAGTTGATTTTTTGTGAGTATAAATTGACGTGCTAGCCTTTATTTATTAGATTTATTCTTTTTTTTAGAAACCGTCACTTGATGGTCAGCGTTTTAAATTAAATATAAAACACAGTTGTTAATTTGTGATGGGAGAAATTTATAAAATTTGGTAATATTAAGTAAAATACTATATTTAAAAATATCTTCAATTTATCTAAATAAAACAGCAGCAACTGTTATCCATTGGCCACATATGAATGCTAATACGATAACCAAATAAAAAGGGATATTATGAATTACATTTATAAAGTCTCGAGTTCGAACCCCTGGACAGATGAGGCTCGATAGTTGGGGAAAGCAACTCTTCTATGAGAGACAACTCCAAAATCAAACAACTGCTTTGTAGTTTGTTCTTGGTTGGAAAAGAGATCTGGTAGCAGATCAGGTTGACACGCATTATTTAATTGTGTGAGAGGGTATACCCCCCCCCTTCCAACTGTCACGGCCCTTTTGTATGACTGGGTTCATGGCACAAACTAAAGGCAAATACAAACCACATTATTGGTAATTTTACAGTTTTTTTTTTATTGATATCAGATATACAGCAGCTACACTACTAAAACCACGACTTCAGTTTCGTCATCTTTTTTTATTCTCCCTCTCACTTCCCTTCTTTTGCGCATGCGCCTGCCCACACTATATTTTTGATTTATATCGCCTTTTTACACCTTCATTCGAAACATACATTCATCCTACATTTGACTGTTACAGCAACATTAAAAAAATTAAGATCGAAGAAGTAGCAAGACGATGTTATGTATGTTTCATGACGTAATCAAGCACACACTCTACCGTTCAGCCACACCGCCCCTCCTCCCCTCTTATTGAATCTAAATGTTATTGCTGGTTTTTAAATACACGCCTACACTCAGGCTATCAACACACACACACACACACACACACACACACACACACACACACACACACGCAAGCACACGTTCAGTAAATTTAAAATATAAAATTGGTAGGATTAATTGTTTCGTAATTTTTAAAATTATATTTTATATTGTAGTGAGTGGTATATAGTAATTATATATAACTATGTTTTTAATTCCCCTCCCCTCCCTTCTTGTCTATGAAACATTCCTACTCCATTGATGATGCAGGCTGACACGTATTTTCATTCAAACATACCCATTACTCCTTTTTAATTGTTTCTAACAAACGTGTACTGTGAAAGTATTTTTAAAATCACCATTTTTTTGTAGTAGATAACTATCGTGGGTTAGCCGTGGAAGAGTTGAAGGTCTCTCATGAGTACTATGTATCATCATCTGTTCTAGTTTGCGCACACATATTGAGCAGATGAAGCAGAGTAAATATGTTCAATTGACCTCGGCATTTAAAGAGAAATTGTGGTCAGCACTATACTCAGCCGCCTTTGTTTCCCCTAAGGTGAGTTGGGTACCCATAACTGGGTGGACTCAGAGACGTACTACAGTCGCCAGCCCGAACCGAGATTCGAACTCGAATCCTTCGGGCTGGTAGTCAAACGCGCTACCATTCGACCACACCATCCCCTGCAAACTAATTTGTCAATAGCTAAACCTATTCAACCACACTATTACACTATTGCTCAAAGGCTTCGTATAATATGAGGATATCCTTCAAAATAAATGCTGTATCTTACGGTAGATTATGTGTCGTAATTTGCCAAATGTTTTTTATACACCCGCGATGCATAAGGTATCCCCATCTCACTCGTTAAGCATACATCTAAAAATATCTATATATAAAATTCTCTTCTGGGAGCCGTTAGAAAACAAGCTGCAAGCGCCTCCTTGCAGTCCCCTCTCTCTATCACTATCACTACCACCCCCACCCCACTCCCACATTGTCTGGTGAGCGGTGTTCACTCTAAATGTTTACAAAGCTAAATGTTTACAAATCGTAGAGCCGTAGAGCCGGGTTTCTATTAGGGGCAGATAATTTAGTTCGATTTTAAACTTACAGGAGGTAACTAAGAAATAACTAAGAGGAGGCTGCTTTCACGAAGGGGGGGGGGGGGTGTAGGGTCGGGGTTAGGGGAAAGGGGGGGGGGGGGTGTTAGTGTTTTAAAGCAAATATTTTCAGTGGCAGCATTGGTACTGTCGAATTCGCAAATTATGAATTACTGAAAAGTAGAAAATAAAACAACTAAATAGCGGCGTATGATACGCTGCGGGTCGGCTCGTTATTTATAAACCCAGAAATACACAAACCCTATCCACGCCACTCTGACAACGTCACTGAAAGTGAAATCAAACATCGATACAACAGCTGTCAGACGTGAGCGTATAACTTCATCACATATTTGGTTACAATGCCGTTATGTCCCAACAGTAATTGCTTTTTTTTTTTAACATCCGGTATTGTGTGAAAGATTGGGTGAAGTCCAACATCTGTCAATAAGGGGGACTAACTCTGCCGGATTATATTCGTTTCGATTACCTCCCTGTAAGTTATATTATATTATTTTTTTACACGTTTTTTTCAGGATGTTTATGCTTGTTCTTCTTATGCAGAGTTTTTTCCAGGCATCTCTTCGGGGGGGGGGGGGGGGGGGGGGGGGGGCAAAATTTATATAGAAAATATATACTTTTAACAGTGTCCGCCCCCACCCCCCGAAGAAAGTCTACCGCCCCCCCCCCCCCCCGAAAATTTCAAGTGCCCCCCCCCCGGAGAAAAAAGTCTGGAAGAAACACTGTTCTTATGACGATGAGTATTCAGCATAAAACTAGGAGATGACTTAACATTTATATTAAATCCCAAAGACCGTGATAATCACCACACCTGGATTTGAGATTGATCAATAATTTCTACTTCTCGCATTCATATTCAATCAATAATATTATCTGTTGTTTTTCTTCTAGTCTTGGTTTCCGTTTTTAATATCTACAGATACAAAACACAAACAAGAAATTTTTATGATAATCAACTAAATTTTTTTCGAAACATGCAGTAATGTTTTTTTTTAAATTGAAATTTTTGCACTTGGAAAAATGCTAATGTATGCCTTTGAAGACTATTGCATTGTTTCTTTATATACACACACACACACACACACACACACACACATATATATATATATATATATATATATATATATATATATATATATATATATATATATATATATATATATATATATATATATATATATATATATATATATACATATTGGAAAAACACAGTACATTGAAAAACGGAAACTGAGAACATTGAAAACAATAATTGCGCAAAAGCTTTAACTCAACTTAAAATATCTCATAGCTAAGGAAATATTTTAAAACCCATTATGGAGATATTTAGGCTTAACTGCGATGAAACATTACACAGTTTAGATAAGTGATGAGGGCGGTGTAGTTACTTTTTGATTATTTTTTACTCTAACCTAAGGCTAACCCCAACTAACATCAGTGCGAACCCGTTATATCTGAATATTTAGTATAGGAAATGTCTTTTTTTGCCCAATGTTTGACTTATTATTAACACCAGACAGTGGCGTAGCGAGGTCACGTGTCACCCGGTGCGGCACTTAATGGTGTCACCCCCCCCCCCTGAGGCGTAGCGACCCTTCCCTGGGACAAACTTTCAAATTTTCGATTTGCATCCCCCCTCAAACTTTCGATTTGCACCCCCCCCCTCAAACTTTCGATTCGTACCCCCCCCCTCAACTTTTTCTCCATATATTTTGCTATTTTTTGCCTTGGTGTCACCCCCCTAAATGGTGTCACCCGGTGCGGTCCGCACCCCCGCCCCCCCCCCCCTCGCTACGCCCCTGACACCAGAAATGAAGAACGTTAAGGCACTAAGCTTTATCCTAAATTAAATCTTAACTCTAGCGTTATTAATGTTATATGTAAAATCTTCTTTGAGACTTGATTGCAATAGGAAGAGATGAAAACAGGGTCATCTCTTTTACCCATGCATTTAAAGGTTCTGTGTGAATAGCAGTCTGCCTTTCGTTTTTGTTATATATCTTATAACCCTAACCATAACAAGTAAAGTAAGTAAAGTTCCTTTTCAAATCTGACGGCCCATGGGGTTAGTGAAGTAGAGTTTACCTGTTTCAGTGACCTCGGCTTTATAAAGAAATAGTGTGGTCAGCACTATGCCCAGCCGCCTTTACTTTCCCTAACATGAGTAAGGTACACATCAGAGCTGGGTGGACTCAGAGACTTTCTTCTGACTTGAACCCGTATTCGAACTTTCGGGTTAGCAGTCTAGCACGCTACCCCTAGACCACGCCGTCCCATCTAACCCTAACGAACCACACAATAATCAATTGTCCTGGAAATTCTTAATCTAAACAATCGCCTATACAAAAAACAACAAAAAACAACAAAAAAACAACACCTCAACATATTTTCATTGTTAGATGCACGATATTACTCTCTACCTGTGTCACCGGCATCGATTTTTCTTCCATCTTCGCCATCACCGCGCGATTTGAATTTCCCGTGGAACGTCGGTTGCTTATTGACAACCTAAACAAGTGGTAGGCGCGGCGGTCACCGTTAGCGGCCTTAGCTCGCCTGTCCTCGGCGTCTTTCCCCCGGGTGACGCGCGCCTTCGCCTCGACTAAAAAGGGGAGAGAAGCGGTAGCGAGGGAACAGGGGACGCCACTGATGGTGGCTGTCATAAGCTGGCTGCGTGTGTCGCGGAATGCTCTCCCCTTACACCGACGCGACCCCCCATCCTCCCCCCCCCCCCACCTTTCCCTACTCGCGACGAGGTTCGGCCTTACCATTGGTCGGTTCAACCCGAAGCAGCTCAGCCGCTGTGAGTTATAACGTCACCTGAAAACTTATATGGATTATTGTTTCCACATACAAAAAAACAAAAAAAAAACAACAACACCTATACTAACAGTATCAGTGCTGTGTCCGCGATTTGTGATGTGTTGTATGGTTTAGGAAATATTTTTTTTATATATAAAATAAAATTAGATTCTGTGTTGATTTTTCTAATTTGAGCTCAGGAGATTTATGTATAAATTTAGCATCACCTAAGTGACAGTTCAATTTCCCAAAGGAAAATTACACGAAAAAAAATATTTCGTAAAGGAAACCTACTAAATTGTGTTCGTTTAGCGTTGGAATCGGAAATTCTAGAAAATTTGTGTTTTCTTATGAGTTCTGCTTTGAAGGATGCCACACGTATTGGAGGTGGAGGAATCGTCAGGTAAATTTCAGGGACAGTGTGGGTAACCACATGTTTGAATATTGTTTACCTGTCTACCTGTCTAACTATGCAACCTACAGTTGGAATAGATACACTTTAATGTCATCCTGTTCTCTTGCATTTCATTTGCATACACAACACTATAGTATACATGCATAAACATAATATATGGTAAATAAATAAATACATATTATATAAATATATATATATATATATATATATATATATATATATATATATATATATATATATATCATTGACAAATACTGAAATCAATCTGAAAGACATTTTGATAATCTTTAGCTTAGCATTTGTAACAGATTAGTATTTTAACCGACTAAAGAGATTTTTAATTGATGTGGCTGAATCAAGCTAGCAATATTACTGGAAATTATGTTGTTTTTTTTTTCAAAAAGGATTAAAGCAGTTAATGTATTTTCCACAAGATTTATGGTTTACAAATTTGCCAAAACAAGGTTTTGTGCATTAGTGGTCAAAATTGACGATGTACAACGTTAAGGTTAACCTAACTCCCAAACTTAAAAGATTTATTTCTTCATCGTTATTTTTGGTTTTCATCATCATTATCATCTTTTACCGTTCATGCCAAGGATACGTGTGGCAGATGAAGTAGAGCTCATCTGTTTCAATGACCTCGACATATGAAGGGATAGTGTGGTCAGCACTATGTCTACTCCCCTTTGTTTCCATAACGTGAGTCAGGTACCCATTAAAGCTGGGTGGACTCAGAGACGTCCTGCAGCCACGAGTCCGAACCCAGATCCGAACTCGAGATCTTCGGGCTTGTAGTCAAATACTCTACCATTCTACCATACCGACCACCTCTTTTCTGTTTTGGCGATTGCAAATCCTCAGTTTAGGTCTTTAGGATGTTTAACTTTCATATTAAGTTTATGTTAAAAATACGGCAAAACATACTGTAGTGCTCAATTCATGAACGAGTGTGCAGGTATACATTTATATGATGATAAATGTATACTTTGTTAGTGCTTATGCCACTACTATGTTGCTGATACAAAAGGTATATAATTCAGATTTACATAAACTGGCGTATCACCGAGTCTAAACACGTGAGTGATTGTACGATATGAGTAAACATAAACAGCCACAACTATTGTTTTTACTAGCAAGTCACTGCTACGTCATATAACAACAGTAACATTGATCCCCCAGCCGCTAGCGTCATATTAAATCTTCTGTTGCTTCTACGTCATACAACCACTACAAAATTGATCCCCCTTTACCCATAGTATCACATACAATCTTCTGTTGCTTCTACGTCATACAACCACTACAAAATTGATCCCCCTTTACCCATAGTATCACATACAATCTTCTGTTGCTTCTACGTCATACAACCACTACAAAATTGATCCCCCTTTACCCATAGTATCACATACAATCTTCTGTTGCTTCTACGTCATACAACCACTACAAAATTGATCCCCCTTTACCCATAGTATCACATACAATCTTCTGATGTGTCTAAAGCAGACAGTAGACACGGTACAACTACACAATCTGATACGTTTGCTGTAGATGCTAGTCTCAGACGCTAGAACATCACAATTACTCGTAGGGCCCCGCAGACAATTTGTCTGGAATAATTCAATCGAACTTGTCAGGCTGTGATGTAGCTAAGAATGAAAGTTCTGGGGGTACCTTAGCGTGTAGTGTGGTGGTTGTGTGTGAGTGTGTTAATGTGGAGAGGTAGTGGTATGTGGGTGTATTAATGTGGGGAGGTAGGGATGTGTGGGTGTATTAAGGTTGGGAGGAAGTGATGTGTGGGTGCATTACTGTGTGAAGGTACATATGTGTGGGTGTATTAATGTGGGGAATTAGTAATGTGTGGGGGTATAGCTGTGTCGAGGTAGTGATATGATAGTGCTTTACTGTGGTAAAATAGTGTTGTGGTTGTGATGTGTGGGTGACTCAGTCTGGTAGTGATGATGTGAAATGTGTGGGGGGCTAGACTGTGGTGAGATAATGAGATATTGAGATGAGTACCTCACCGTAGCAATGAGATGTGTTAATCGATATGTTTATGTTATTGAAGAGGTATAACACTATACTGAGGTAGAGACAGTGAGTATAAACCACACTGAGGTGAGGCAGTGACAACCTCACCATACTGAGATAGACACAGTGTCTACCTCAGTATGATGAGGTAGACACTGTGTCTATCTCACCATACTGAGGTAAGGCAGTGACAACCTTGCTAGACTGAGGTAGAGACTTTGTCGACATCATCATGCTAAAGTAAAGACAATACATACCTCAGCATACTGAGGTAAGAGACAGTGTCCACGTCACCCTTCTGAGGTAGGAACATAGACCACCTCACCATACCGAGGTAAAGACATTGACTATCTCAACATCCTGAGGTAGGGGACAGTGTTTGATTCACCACACTGAGGTTAGACTGTACATACCTCACCATACTGAGCTAGGCACAGTGTCTACCTCACCTTACTACTGTACTCACAGTCTACCTCATCACAATGAGGTAGGTACACTGTCTACCTCACCTCACTAATATACTCACAGTCTACCTCATCACAATGAGGTAGGTACACTGTCTACCTCACAATACAACCACACACGTCTATTCTCCTACCCAGGCAAATGATTATCATCACCGTGCAGTAGATTCATCCTCGTTAAATCAATAGAAAACCCTTCCCCTCCTTCCTCTCCTCCCTCCCCCACCCCCACAACACAATAGAAAATCACTACTCTAAAAAGGATTAGGCCTCCATCGTGACAGCGTGGCAGCGTGTTCTTGGCTTTAAGCAGAGATATTTATCTGGCCAATAGTTTGATCTATTTTTCCCGATTGTTCTGAAAATCGATTTTTGAACTTCTTAATTGAGGATTTGAAAAGCTGTTTTTCCTGCCGGTGTATTGATCTTGATGTGCTGGTGGGGACCACAATGGTGCAGTGTTTGTCGTTATTACAAATGGTGCAGTGGTTATCATAATGGTGCAGCTTTTGTGGTAATCTAAATGGTGATGTGCTTGTGGTCATCACAATGGTGCACTGGGCATTACAATGGTGTAGTGGTCTTCACAATTGTGCACTGGGCATTACAATGGTGCGCTGGGATTTACAATGGTGTAGTGGTCTTCACAATTGTGCACTGGGCATTACAATGGTGCGCTGGGATTTACAATGGTGTAGTGGTCTTCACAATTGTGCACTGGGCATTACAATGGTGCGCTGGGATTTACAATGGTGTAGTGGTCTTCACAATTGTGCACTGGGCATTACAATGGTGCGCTGGGATTTACAATGGTGTAGTGGTCTTCACAATTGTGCACTGGGCATTACAATAGTGTACTGGGCATTACAATGGTGCACTGGGCATTACAATGGTGTAGTGGTCTTCACAATTGTGCACTGGGCATTACAATGGTGCGCGGGGCATTACAATGGTGTAGTGGTCTTCACAATTGTGCACTGGGCATTACATTGGTGTAGTGGTCTTCACAATTGTGCACTGGGCATTACAATGGTGCGCTGGGATTTACAATGGTGTAGTGGTCTTCACAATTGTGCACTAGGCATTACAATAGTGTACTGGGCATTACAATGGTGCACTGGGCATTACAATGGTGTAGTGGTCTTCACAATTGTGCACTAGGCATTACAATAGTGTACTGGGCATTACAATGGTGCACTGGGCATTACAATGGTGTAGCGGTCTTCACAATTGTGCACTGGGCATTACAATGGTGCGCGGGGCATTACAATGGTGTAGCGGTCTTCACAATTGTGCACTGGGCATTACAATGGTTTAGTTGCCATCACAATGTTGCAGTGTTTTCCTCAGTCACAAATGTCATATTTATCAATTTTCTTTTAAAACTTCAACTACTTCCGTATAATATATATATATATATATATATATATATATATATATATATATATATATATATATATATATATATATATATATATATATATATATATATACATATATATATATATTTATATATTTATATATATATATACATAGTCCGTATAAAAAGAAGTGTATTGCCGGTACACACATATATATGTCACCTCAGAGCACTGAAATCAATTGGATAAAATAAATACACACGTTGAAATTTTTCTAATTTGTTCGTAGATTTAAAAAAATACATTATTGATCTGATGCTTTCAATACTGGGGTGGATAAATATATATACGGTAAATCTGTTAACCTTGAGTACGAGGAGATATCTAACAGTCTACATTAATTGTTAACATTGAGGACGATGAGATAACTTGCAGTATACATTTGTTAACATTGAGCACGATAACAAATGTAACAGTATAAATTTGTTTTTATTGATTATGATAAAATATTTAACAGTAAAAATATGTTAACGTTGAGCACCATAAAATATTTAACAGTATACAGTTGTTAACACTAAGCATGATAAAATATTTAACAATATACATTTGTTAAGTTTGAGGAGATAGATTAAGAGCACATGCTTTTTTTAGATGAAGTAGAATATAATGAATTTAGGAAAAAAATATAAAAAATAGATTTTACTGTACCTGAAATAATTAAGATTTTGACGTTTTTATCGTTAAAGTTTTACCGTAGAGTAAGATGAAAATGATGAATATAGAGATATATGCTCTAGATTAAAAACGTGGTAATGAATATATATGTTCAGGAATATAGGTGCTTTACCGTAAACATGTAAATAATGTGAAGCTTAAAATAAAGTAATACAATTACTGCTTAGTCACCGTTAATCATGTTAGGTTAATGGAAATTAAACTACTTTCAAATTGTTAAATTGACTGTTTTAATTAGAGGGCTGTGTAAAAAACATTATACTGTTTTCACGAATAGATTCAGTACTAGAACGTATCGCCAGTTGCTGTCCTGATATGTACACGGACGTTAAGTAGATTAATGAGTGATGACTTGGTAAAGTTTTCGTGTATCGCGGGGGGAAGGGGGGCTGGTGTTTGG